GTCCCTCTCGTCTCTCCTCTCTCCCCCTGCTCCTCACGTCTCCCATCTCGATCCCTCCTCACTCCCTCCCTTATACCCTCCTCCTATATTGTTTATTCCCCATCCGCATCCCCTCCCTCCCTCCCGTACTGCTTCGCTCTCAGCCGGCCAGGTCTCCTCGGTATCTCTTACTCCCCCCCCTCCCATCTCCCTCTGGGATCTGTTGTGTGCTCGTGCCTCCCTCTCATCGCTCAGACTCCTGCCCTATTCTCCTCTCTCTCCCTCCCCGTCTCTCTCTTCCCTCCTCACCCTCTCAGTCATCCTCTCCTCCCTCGCATCTTCCGCCTCTCTCTCCCTCCCTCGTCTCTCGACTCCGTCCCTCCCTCCATCTCTCTCCTCCCTCTCTTTCCTTCTCTCCTACTTCTCTCTCTCTCTCTCTCTCTCTCGTCATCAAGTGCTCGTCTCTCTCTGCTCTTCCTCATTCATCTCTCTCCCTGCTCAATCTCTCTCTCATCCTCTTCCTCTCTCCTCTCCCTCATCCTCTCTCCTCTCTTTCCCTCTTTTTGTCCTCTTGTCCCTATGTTCTTGCCATGTACTCATTCGTACAATATGTTTACCGGTTAGAACAGCAAAGTCAAACATTCCTTCGCTTTCTAAACAAACGATTTTTCACGGGCAAAGAAACACGAAGGAGACGGGGGAAAAAAAGGCGAAGGAGAGGGGAAAAAGTAAAAAGAGGAAAAAAAAAATTAAGGAAGGGAAAAAAAAGTTCGGTCAACTGCCAGAGTCAACATGAGGGTTAATATGTAGGTCGCTTGGAAGGTCCGTCGTCTTCTACCATGCTGTCTTCTCTGCTTTGTACTCGTTTTTGCCCCTTTTTGTTTGGACTTTTTTTTCCTGTCTGTTTTGACCCCGTTTCCCTATTTCTCTCTCTTCTCTCTCCTCTCTTCTGGTCTGTCCTGTCTGTCTTCTCTCCCTCTCTTCTCTCTCTCTCTTCTCTCTTGTCTCTCTTCCTCTCTCTCTCTCTCTTCTCTCTCATCTCATTCTCTCATTCTCTCTCCTTCTCTCTCTTATCTATCTCTGTTTCTATCAATTTCTCTTCTCTCTTCTCTCTCTTCCCCTCTCTCTCCTCTCTCTTCTCTTCTTCCTCTCTCTCTCTCTCTCTCTCTCTCTCTCTCTCTCTATTCTCTCATTTCTCTCTTCTCTCTCCTCTCTTTATGTCTTAAATGTTGCCTATCCACCGGTGTATTTCCATCTTCATTCACTTGTTTCAAAATTTACCAAGAAACTCAACTAATTTCTCCACTTTTCAACCTTATCATAAAAGAAAAACATAGATAGGTGAGTTTAGCAAATGGAAAAGAAACGTTAAAACGACAACAGAACGGCTAAGTTGACTGTAATAGCTTGTTTTAGTCGCTCTAAGTTAATCCCAAAACCTCCATTATATAAGAGCGTGGTCACAGATGGTCTTGTCAGGAGGAAGAAGACATAATACTTTTTAATTCTATTTTTAGAATGCCTGACCCAGCTGACATTATTGCCGTTTCTTTCTTCTTCTTCTTCTTTTTCTTTCTTCTTTATGAGAGAGACTGAAAAGGAATTGAGAGAATTTTTCAATCCTTGTATTTTGTGCGCTGGGGCTTCCTTCTGCAGGCTGTTCCCATTATGTCTTCGGTATTAAAGCTGAAGGATCTTCATTTGCAGGACTTTGGACATGGCACTCATGTCATCACTGGTGTATATGCATATGCATGTATGTGTATGAATATGTGTGTGTGTGTGTGTGTGTGTGTTGTGTGTGTGCCATACATGTGTGTATATATATGTGTACATATGTATATATATATTATATAATATATATATATATATATATATATATATATATATATATATATATATAAATATATGGTATGTATGTATTCATTACATATATAATATATATATATATATATATATATATATATATATATAATATATATATATACATATACATATTACATATACATATATATATATATATATATATATATATATAATATATATATATATATATATATATATATATTATATTATATATATATATTATAATATATATATATATATATAATATATAATATAATATATATATATATACACACACAACTATATATTTATATACATTACATATCTATAAAATATATAGACAGACTGATAGATAGATAAGTATACGTATATATATGTGTGTGTGTGTGTGTGCCCGCTGTGTGTATGTAATCTGATGAATTACTTCCATTTACCACAGTCTCACCCATGGTGGTATAGTCCCATCACCAACATTAAAACTTTGGCAATTGTTACGTAATAGTGTAAACAAAATAAACAGTAACTGTATTAGAATACTAACCATTATAAAAATAAAACCAAAATCTGGAAAGGCAAACAAAATAAATGAACACGCTGTAAACAAAAATTGGCATGAGGCAAAAATAAGCACTTTTTCTGTCTCTTCCGCTGGTTCCGCGCTGCTGTCAGAGGCCTTTACTCACCAGTTTTCCGTCTAGGCCCCATTCCCTGTGAAAAATCTCCTTTATATAGATATATGTGTCTATGTACATATGTTACTGCAAAGTCTTCCCTTAACCGTGACCTTCTGACCAAGACAGCAGCGCGGGACAAAATCAAAACAGACAGAGCCGAAGTCCAACCAAGATGTCACTGGAAAGGGATACTGAGGGTAAAGGTTTTTTTTTTTTTTTTTTTTTTTTACTTCTGTTTTTTTTTTTTTTTTTTTGGGGGGGGAGGGGTTCTGGAACACCGGATCGCTGCAACCACCAGACGCACTACTTACGTTCTCCTGAGATGCAGGAATCCCCGTCGTAACCTGCCAAGGGTGGTACACCGTCATCAGTACTACACACACACTGCACACGGGAGGTTACCTCCTGCGCCACACCTTCACCTGCCACACTTAAGCCTCTGGGTTCGCCCTACTTCACCTGCCGCGGCAGTCAGAGGGCAGTGGGTCTGGACTGATCGGCACAACTAAGATTTGGGGAGGTGACCATTCGCTAGATCCGAAGACTATTCTCTAATTCAGAAGACTAGACTATAATCTATGACTATGGAATACTAAATATGTGGGGACTACAACAGGGAAAAAGAGCTTCCGTATTTTCTTTATCGAAATGGAAAGTTCGAATTGGGGACTTGATCTTTAAGAAAAGAAAAAAGATTTAGATTTTCGTTTCTTTGCTCACTAACTTCATAAGATGAAATGGCAATAGAAGAAGACAGATATCTAATTGCATCAGAAACTATGTTGATTTTTTACGTGAAAATGAAAAGCACTTTGTCGAATTCTGCTTTGTTTGGCAATAGAAGTAAGTCACAATCAAGAATCGGGCTTAACAGATAAAAGTGGTGGCGGGAGCAGGAAGCCCTTAGTTGGAGAGATAAAGGAAGGAGTTGGAAAGAAAAGAAAGAAAAAAAAAAACATTAGAGAAAAATGACAGAAAGATCGAAGAAAATCAAAGGAAAAATAAAGTGTTGCGAACTTCTTGTGGTTTCTCACAGTTGCCAAAACAAGCATGAGGGGGTGCAAGGTTGGGGGGAGGGGGTCGTGGGGGATATAATTTTTGGGTTAGTGAAGCCAATGCACATATGTAGAGGAAATATCAGTCACTTAGCCTTTATTTATACTATAACAAAATCAAATATTGTACATCTATCTCGATCTTCTAATTCCCACAAAAGCTGCACTGAATATGTCTTGTGAATGGTAACAGGCAGCTGATTCTATACACAAATAACTAATAATAATGACACCGAATAAATTAATACCATTAAGACACTTAAGCGTTCTAAACACAGACATAGAAATTTTAGCCATGACCTTAAGAATACTAATTATTCAGATAAATAATTACAATTTCACTAATTTTACTCACAAATTACATTAATTTTATTATTAGATGACAGCCACTTAGCAATAGTCTAAGAATTAATATTGACATAAAAGAAAAAGTATAATTAAACATTATTTGCCGAGTAAGCGGGACATGCAGAGCAAAGAATATGGAACACACGGTGCGAACGAAAAATAAAGAAAACGAAGAATAAACGGAGACAAGGTGTAACTCGAAGAAAGAGGGAGAGGAAGAGAGAGAGAGAGAGAAGAGAGAGAGAAGAGAGAGAGAGAGAGAGAGAGAGAGAGAGAAAGAGAGAGAGAGAGAGAGAGAGAGAAGACAGAAAGAAAGAACAGAGGAGAGAGAAAGAGAGAGAGAAAGAAAAGAGAGAAAGAAAGAGAGAAAAGACAGATAGAGAAGAGAGAGAAAGAGATGAGAGAAGGAGCAGAGCGAGAGAGAGAGAGAGAGAGAGTGAGAGAGAAAAGAGAAAGAGAAAGAGACAGACGAGAGAGAAGAGAGAAGAAAATGAGGAGAAAGAGAGAGGGAGAGAAAGAGAGAGAAAGAGAAAAAAAAAGACAGAGAGACAGAGAGATAGAGAGAGAGAAAAGAAAGAGAAAAGAAGAAGAAGAAAGAAAGGATCCACATCGCCACAGACATAGGACTGGTAATGCATAGGTCACCCAACTCAACGAGCAACGTAAATAACGGTTGCACTTGGGATTGTCTCCAGCGTTAACGTGTTATTTCCGGGTTGCAGTAACAAGGGCGACAAGAACAGATACATAATCTTTAGGGATCTTGCTGCAATCCAAAGGGTTAAACATGTCCATGATCTTACTTACATTTCCGCAAAGGAACATTTATTAGAGCAGCGACTGAAAAAACACCTTTACTGTACCTCGGGAGCGTTGTGGCGAGCTCGAGAGGGAGAGAGAGAGAGAGAGAGAGAGACATGCATCCACATTCTTCTTTAGAGATCTTGATGATAAAGGACTCTTGACGGCTTAAGAATACCAAGAAGGATTTTTTATTTAATTTAAATTTTGACCGGTTAGTTGGTAAATAAAAGTGTTGTCCGTCGATGTTGATAAATCATTTAGATCCCCGATTAAAACGGGGGGGATACAGACGCAAAAATATTTCTGATTTAGAATTCTGTGGCGATTTTTGGATTCAAAACTAAAACCAAAAATTAAAAAAAAAAGAAAACAGGACCTAAGAAAAAAATGGGGAATAAAAGCACAAAAAGAAAAAGAACAGAAATACTTCGACTTTTATGAAGAACGTCGAAGATCTAATTTCTGTAGAGAAAAACAAAATAAAAAACACATTTTACAGGGCGTATCAAAATAAAGCTTTTTTTTAAAAAAAAAAGAGAAAGGTAAGGGATATCGGGAGTCGGGAATCTGCCTCGTTCCCAACAGAAGCAAAAAAGAAAGAAGAAAAAAAATACCGAAGAAAAGCCAAATAAAAAAAATAATCAAAAAAAACAATAATAAACTTACAGAAGAGAACAGCCACGAACTCTTGTTCCTCGACGATCTTGTCAAGGATCTTGGCGTTGACTTCCTCGATCTGGTCCGGAAGCTCCATGGCCTCGAGGCTCGTCAGGAACTCCAGGACTCCAGCCTCGTCCATTAGGTCACCTGAGTTGGAGTGGGGAGAGAGAGATGGTGAATGAAGAGAGAGAGAGAGAGAGAGAGAGAGAGAGAGGAGAGATAGAACGAGAGAGAAGAAGAGAGAGGAGAAGAGAGAGAGAAGAGAGAGAGAGATAGAGAGAGAGAGAGAAGAGAGGAAGAGGATGAGAGATAGAAAGAGGAGAATGAGATATTTTTTTTCATATAAAAAAGAAAACAAGGCATTATTTGTATTCCTATCAACATACAAATTAAATACCAAACATCATTAACAAAACAAAATTCTATATCCATGTTTTATTTAGAAGGAGCTTGTTTTAAGCAATTGTCAATGTTATCCATTTTAGACATGTATATTCACCAACATAAAGCTATATCATTATTTATCTATTCACATTCCTGTCAATGTAGAAAAAGTGTGAATGGGAATATCTTCACATACAAGAGATGAATTTCTGTCGGAGAAATATTCGAAACCGGTCAAATTCATTTCTTGTATTTGAAGATATTCATTCTCATTCGTACCTTTCATATATTTGTCAGCATGAATACGGTTCATTCCTGCCAGTCTACCAATCTAAATTCTTGACAACATGTCAAAATATACATTAGTAACAATGAGTATTTTTTTCTATCCATACGTTAGTAAACAATCAGTCTGTTTTTTTTTTTTTTTTTTTTTTTTTTTTTTTTTTCCATACGGATTTTTCATCTGTTTAACTGAAAGTATATTTTTTCTATATGTCTATTTATGTACATGTGCATATATTCATTTATCCATATGTATATCCAACAGGCTCAGATATACTGATTTAATTTTCAAGATTTAATTTAAAGCATGAAAACATGTGATTTATCAAATTTGACATATTGTGTAAAATTCCTAAGACGTCAAGCAAAATGTGTCTCTGAAAAGGACAACCAACTTTATCAAAGCCATTAAAATGTGCACAAAAAATATATATAAATACCTTTAACCCGGCCAAAAATTATGTTAGTCACGCTATGCCTAGGCTGCCCTTGACACGGTAAATTCTAGCCCTCCCTTGGCCAAGTACTGGAGAGGGTGGAGGAAGGAGAGAGGGTTGTCACACTAAATCAGGGGAGAGGGAGGGGGGAGGGGAAACCAACCATACTTGGGGTACGGGAAGGAGGAGGGTGAGCGGGAGAGGGGAGGGGGTGTAGGCACACTATGCCAGGGAAGGAGGTGTGGGGGAGAGTGGCACAAACAGGGGGTCTGGCCACACCATGCCAAGGTCGAGTAGCTGACATGCCAGAGGAGCGTACCATTATGGGTGGAGGGAGCGAAGGGGGGGGTGAAAGAGGAGAGGGAAGGGAGCCAGTGTCAAGAAAATAATTTTAACACCGAGTGGACTGAGGCTGCGTGCGCTGGGTGTCTCAGAAGGGGCGTGCATCTGTCTCAGGGGAAATTATCCCAGGGACTTCCTGCCCATGAACCTTCAGAGCTCGTCCGATGGCGCTCTCTCCGACAGACGCAACCAGCATCTTCGATATAATGCAGCCAAAAAAAAAAAAAAAGAAAAAGAGAGAGAAAGAGAAGAGAGAGAGAGAGCGAAAGAGAGAGAGGGAGAGAGAGAGAGAGAGAGACAGACAGACAACAGACAGACAAACAGACAGACAGACAGAGCAGAACAGAGACAGACAGAAAAGAAAGAAATAGAAAGAAGAAGAAAAACTATTCTTTTTTCTCTCATATTTTCCAGCCTCTCGTACTTAAACCTAAACAATAACCGAGACACTTGGCTTTTGTCTTGTCATCGAAGGAGAACCGAGGCAGAAATTCCAAGCCGTTCGCCACTCGCGTTCTTCGAGTGAATAGAATCCTTGGTCCTGAAGCATGTGGATTCTCGAAATTGTGTTTGTGTGCGTTGGATAAAATACTGGCTAAGAAATTGTCTTTTTTTCATTATTTATGTATGACCTTGTTCACTGTTTACCTCAGATATATGATTAATAAACCCTAGATCTTCTTTTTTTTGTAATGCATCGTATATTATCCATTCCCATCACATAAATGAATAAACAAATAATTAAAACACAGACAGAAAGCTAAACAAAAGAACTTATTTCAAGAACTACAATCCCCGCCAGACCTTCATAGTGCATGGTCCGTATTCCTGAAGAAACAGACGAAGGTCTATACCCCGTAGGATTCGCAAGAAAAACACCTTGAAACATAAAACAAAATCACCAGTCCATTCATAAATTTAGTAAAAAGAAAAAAATAAAAAAAAAAAAAAAGAGAATAAACTAGAAAAAAGCAATCACACGAAAAAAATATATATACTAAATAGAAATAATAATAAAACAAACAACAAAAAAAAAAAAAAAAAAGTATAGGAATACAAGAAAAAAATAAAAAAAAAAAATAAATAAATAACTA